TATAGTCTGATTTTAAGAAGGGCTTCTAAATGCTATAGCTGATTTGTTATAACCTAGACAGATGACAGCCTTAATTTGCATTAACAGCTTTAGTTCAAATTAACTTGTACATTATGCTCATTTTTATGTGTTGTTAATGCACAAAATCAAACTGAATTTACACTGAATTAAGCAATTTCAATATGGCAATGCTGTAGAAAATAAATTGATTGTTGTCAAATTTGTTTACGTTTACGAAAATAAAAATTAGAAATAAAGGCAAAATTCAACATTTCTTCAAATTTGGACCTGTTTTATCTTCATTATAGCTGTTAGTTTTCCTTCCTGTCATGTATCAATTTCAAAACGATGTAATCCTAAAAAATATTGTAAACAAATGTCAATATTTTCTTCCTACACACAGACAAACAATAGTTTTGAAACAAAAAACTGGTTCATAAATGCAGAAACTCTCGTCTGTCAGGGCTAAATTTTAATTCAAATTAAGAACTTTTTAATGCAAATTAAGGCTGTCTATGGTATAATACGCTGTTGATTTGCACAGAAATACGACATAAAGCAAATATCGACATAAAGTCGGAGTAAATTATATTAGGATATTACACATAATGAACGCCTTTGTGGAAATATAATTTCGTTGTACTACACGTACGCGCCGAGCTTCTTTCGGTAGCTATGTCGGTACAGGTGTCACCCAATTTGACCATCATTAACACCAGAATTATATCTATTCACAAATTTGTTTCCGTCTGTCGGTCTGGTGCTCTTTATAAATGAAGCGAAACTATTCACGACAGCACGTGACATTTCGAAATCGACAAATTCTGTGCTTGAGTGTCTCACACGTTTTCTATACTTCGTAGATCATCTTTTGTTAGGAGCGACATATTTATTTTTAGATGTGGGTAAGTAAGTATGTTCAAGTCGCAGCAGATCAATAGCTTCATGAAATTGAACAAGCTTTGAATTTACTATTAGGCAGCACATAAGTATAAAAGTGGACAGATATCAATCTAAAGACTGTTAGATAGAGTTTTAATTAACCGTTATAGAATTACCGGATAACGGGATAGCCTGTTTCGGTTATGGACACCCTACTGCTCCCATTTTAAATAATAACCCATTATGAACTGCATATACCCGGTAGTATGTTGCATTACCATTAACGATATAGCAGTTTACATACGTTTATCAACACGGTTTAGTGGAAAGCACCTCTTCTGAATGCTTCCTTCATACCATCTAAGAAAAGATGTTATTGCGGTTTGTAGATTTCTTCTACCGATGGTATGGTGTGGTACAGGTAACATCAATTCAGTTCATATTAGGAGCAGCATCCTCATTGCCGTCTGGAATACAGTGGAAACCAGTTGTATTGTGTTATTATTTTAGTTGAATATATGTGTGTTTATTATTTTTAATGGTATAAGTGTACTTACATTTACGCGAATGTTTTGTTTGTTTCTCCTTCATATGACGTTTCTGCTCATTTCGGAATTGGCGATATACGTATCAGAATTTGGTTACATTTTCTCTGGTACCAACTGTTTATTCAGCAAGCTCAAAATCTCTTTCGTGTGCTTCGTTTTCTATGCGCTGGTTAAAAAAGAAAGAAAGAAAAAAAAAACAACTTGAAACGGAACTTAATTTCGTTTCCATCTCTGGCATCTGAGGTGGTGCTTTTTGTCAGTGGTGGCGTAAATATTTATTGTAAAGTACGCAGCTTAACGAATGAAATTTCGCAGTTTTTTTGGATGCTTGTGGTAATTTTTTCCCTAAAGATTTGTTATTAAGTTCTTTTTCCCGCTCGAGGTTAGTGTAAACTTTATAATACTTAAGTGTTTTTATGGGATTTCTTCTCTGTTTGTTTTTGTTTTGTTCTATTTATTGCTTGGTTTTGGCAAGGAGGTTGATTCTTCTCACATTGTAGCTGCTGTTTTTTGTCTTTAACGGTAGCAACGTGACCATTTGAAGCCACGAAAAAGACAATGTCTGTAAAATTGCTTACAGGTGTCCCAGTACTTCAGGTTTTCAGTTTTCGCTTAATGAAAGCAAAATTCATTTACTGTTTACGAACATCATTTTGTGGAAACTTTTAGCTGGTGCATTCTTCTGTATAGCCAAGTAGTAAGTAACAAACAGAAAATAGACTAAGGGTTTTTTTTTACATTAGAGACGGCATTATTAATAATCTACATTCTTCCTACCTGAGAACCGATTAAAAATGCTTTAAAAAATGTGAAAGCTCTAAGACTAGCTTTGGAATATAAGAAACGAACGTCGAGTTTAGCTGGTAGGAGATAAAAAAATCATTCCGGTAATACATTAAGTTCCATCAAATAACGAAACAAGAGCGATTTGCATAGTTTATTCAAAATATAAAGTGCGGATGGGCATAAATGTTGAATTTCAACTTCGCTTTTTAATGAATTTATTAAAGCTCGTAAAAAGAAATTTCGAAAAACATACAATGGTTGTCACATTCTGATTTCTTTTACCGAATTGAGCTCCGCTGGCACATGTATTTTATCCATTAATTACGCGACTCGTCCGTTTGACGATATATGTATTACCCGCCGAAAATGCGTCACTGTTTCTGACGTACCATCTCTGTCTCGAAAGGAGTTGCAGATTTAATCTAGACTTTGCACATCGTAATATATCTTCCAAATCTAAATCATGTTTGAAGGTGAAGAATTTCAGACAACTATTTCTATTTTTTCCTGAAAAATAAGTGTATAATATCCTGGGAATAATATTTTTACTAAAACTATATCTTGTTCGAAGGTGGGAATCATTGGTCAACTCCTTCTGGTAGCTCACCCTCAAAGGGTCCATGTTTTGGAAATGGGTAAATATTTTATAAAAAAGGCGTAAATATTTTTATCCGATTTGGTTAAAACTTTGGTTAAACTTGTATACGAAAATAGGATTTGGAGACCCCCAAATTTTTGAACATTTTCAGAATGTAAGCAAACAATACTGAACCATATTTAGCAGACTTCATTCACTGTTCTTAACATGCAAATCTTTCATTCAACGCAAAAATGTTTAAAATAAATAATATGTAGATATGTCTGCGTACTTTTCCAGTAACAATTACCCAGAAAGTTCTTTTGTGAGAGTAAGAGAAATTCTTCTTTTTGAAACAATAAAATAACAAAAAAGGAAAAAGACAACATTTTGTACAAAATTTGAATATTGAATATTATTATACATATTATTTTTATTGTACTTTTTACATTAATGAACCTTTCAAAAGACGCTATATTAAATTTGAAAATAATTTCGGCTAATAGAAGATTCTTCTGAAACGAACCAATAGTGTCTCTAAGCTTCACAAAGTTTGCAAATAAGTCTATACAACTTGATCGAAAAAACAAATAAAATATGTTTAAATTTACTCAAATAAATATTGATAAAATTAAAAAAAAAATAGAGACCTAAGATGACAGATTTTAGAAATAGATGGCAGGTAGAGTACATACATTTTATAGGATTTAGTCTGATCTACTTAAACATAAAATGACAACACACATTCCGACAAACGCAACATACATACATATATGTACATTTATATAAATATTTACTGGCTTCATTTATTCATTGCTATTAAAATAACTTCACATTGAAATATCTGTCAGTGTACCCCTCTTGCTTCCGAGAAACTGATGAAGTTGTTGCGGAATTTGAGTACTCCACCTTCTTCATTTCTTCATTTTTTTTTGCGTCCCACTTCATCATTTGACAATTTAATTACAATTAAGCTTATTTGCTGTAATTTGTTGACATTAATCTTTCGAATGTTGAGCGTACTCGAAGGCCCGAACAATTGCAAATAATTTCGCCTTCAAAGAAAAGTCAATAAATATCAAATAACTTTTAAAATTGAACAAGTTTGTTTGTCCATGTACTTGTACGGAATTAAGATGCGTGTTCGTTCTGTTGTTCCCCGTCCCGCTGTGTGCCCTGCCATTTCAAATTCACTCAGTGTTTTATAAACAAAAGCAGCAACAATGGTTAATGCTAAGCATTTGGCAAATATTTGCTCTGTGATTTTTAACACAACACAACTTACACCGTGTTTGAGTCCGTCCACTTACACTTGCTTGATTTCGGGCAGAGGGTCTTTGTAGTGGGACGAACCGAACAACCCGAAACATGCTCTTGAAAGTTATATGATACCGAAATGCCGAAAGACAGTCGCAAAGATTTGATACTTTGGCATGTTGGCATAAATGTGATATTTTGCAAATTGCCGATAATGTGTGTCGTATTGAAGGGATACGATACGACCGCCCCAAGAGCGCTGTCAACATTACGAGCAGACGTCTTCGTCTGATTTCCTTTGAAGAAATAGCACCTGAAGCTATTCATTCAACTCGTATGCTCGCATGTGCACGAAGCTGCGATGTATGTATATGTGTAAAATTAGCTTTTGTGGTCACGACCTCATGGCACAGTGCTGGGATTTGTTTGTCGATATACTTGTAATAGACATAATCGCATGTATTAAATATTAGCACTCATGATTAATCTGTATAACAGGATCCTGATATGATATATTTTATCTGGGAGTGCTGCTGTTGTTGCTCTGGTGTGTTTTATTTTAAATCTATTTACCTTGATATCAATTATCGTAAGTAAAGCCAAATAGTACTATGCTACGGACGATTAATCGAGGAACATATCGCGAAGAAATTTGTAATTCTATTTAATGTCAATCACTGTTTGCAAAGCATTCACCCGATGATGGCTTTTCTGTTGGAAATCTTCCCTCGATATTTATACCTTTCTTTTGACATTTTATAACAGCTCCGTGTCTATGCGTTTCCAATAAATTTCGGTCGTAATAACATTAATGCTGTATTGTTATCACTTTTTTATTATTGAATCAAAATAATAAAAAAGCAAGACAATTACAGCGCAGATTGCAATTTTTTTTGGTTTTATATGAGGTGGAAATGTATTATGTGCACCTTTACACAAACTACGATCACTCATTCGCCTCTGCAAAGCCCACTTGGATCCAGACTGAAATTTAGACCAAACACAAAGCGATTTGTTAGTAAATTGATCAGCAAACTCAAATCGATACCCAGCGGCACATGTGGCATGAAACTGCTAAAATCGAAAATGAATCAAGAATTGGTAATCGAGACTCATCCATTGTTTACCTGGTGTAAATGAAGCCAACGGAAAGATTCGAATCGATTTGTCCTCGCACACAGGCGTCCTCAAAGTTCCACTGATAACAGATAGTGGCTAAAGACTTTTCTGTCTTACGCTGCCACGCCCACAAGGTTGCCATTTGAATTTTACGATGTAATCTGTGCCAGTAACTCATGTCCACTCCTTGACGCGATATGGTTGCTGCTATGCAATAGGAACTGCGTCGGTAACGAGCTGCAAAAGCAATATCCGCTATCATAGAATGCGGATCGGTCCATTCGATCAAAAGCTCCCCGCCCAATGACAGTTTGCTATTAATGGCTCGTAAATACGAGAGAGTTCCTCGACCGCTTTCTCTGCGGGCATTGTAGAGCATCCCCGTAAGTGTTGCAGTATCTGTTGAGAGTTCAATGCATGTTTGCGTCTCCAACGGTGCCCCCATGTTAGCTCTCTGCATTTCGGCCTGAATGCGCAACTGAGGATGCGGATGATACACAATTCCAATGTCTGTGGAGACATTAGTTGGATTGATTTCGGCATGAATAGTAGGTGTTTGCTGCAAGAAAATGCGGATGCTTTACTTTGACTCCAATTCATATTGTTGGGTGCCACGACATTACCATTACATCGCCTTGCAATCGTGCTGTGTAAATTCCACCAAAGCGAAAGCCGGATGGCTCATTGTGACTCAATCTCCAACTGGCTGTCATAATTTTGTTCGGATTAAGTCTGTGGCGATAGTCCAGCTTAATGCCATCGAGAAAGTTGGGTTTGATTCGATTGGCCAAGAGATGTAATCCCAATATATTGCCTGGATTTGTTTTCGAACCAACGCCAGGATATTTTTGAAAACAGGGTGGGAATTTTGTGCCGCATTTCGGAGGGCACCATTCGCAATTCATAACGTTTATAATTCAAAAAGCGTCAACGAAAATATATTGAGACTTTCTTATATATATATAATAATATAAGAGTTCCCAGGCTGAGAAAAATAATGTGTTGTAGCGGCTTTGCCAAGAATTATACTTACACATGCTTGCAATCAAGGCCTATGAAATAGGTCACCCAGTACATGTTTTTGCCAAAAAGCTATTAGTTCCGTTCCAGAATCTAAAAGAATCTACTAATTTTACAATTTTTGCAACTTTTTACTCGAAAATCGTTCCTGAACCCACAAAACTGGTAAAACATTTAATCAAATTGAAGAGAGCATTAACCAAAATGGTGTTCTCTTTGTAAACGTTTTACTCGAGACATTTGGACGAGTATAAATGGTAAACAGGAATGCCTACTTCTGATTTGCTGTTATGTGGATTTTGAAGTATTGCCTTCTAATTTTGGCATATTTACCGAACTTTTCAAATTATTTTGTACTCTGAGAACGATTTTGAAATTTTTCCCTTTAACTAGGTTTAATATTAAAAAAGTTCTGGAACAGATCAATTATTTTAAACTATGGTATAACAGCCTTGCCTAAAATTCAACTAGCTCGTTCGACGTTTTTCACCACAAAAGTAGAACACATGTATTTATATGAATGTTACCGAAATACGTCGACATACGAATTTTCAAAGTTGAAAAAATTCAACTATGACAGAACGTAGTTTTGTTTTTTCTTTTGTTGAAAAAAGAAACACTACATAGAGAAATATAATTTTTTCAATAAGATTATGCAATATTTGAATACATTTTATAATTTCTTAATTTTATATCGCGATTTTGTTTAGTTCGCTAAAAGAAATGGATTCGACGTATTTGGGTAATACGGTCGTACAAAACATTTTGCCACAGAGGGGAAGTTGGATATTTTTGTACGCTTTGTTGAATTTTAGGTAACGTTGTAAAAATTTAAGTGCTGAAGTTTTGTTGAGTGTCAGGGTCGTACCTAAATTCATGCATATGCGTACGATTTTGTTCACCTCAAAAGTTAATTACATGTATTTCAATGAATGTTACCCAAATACGCATTGCGTATAAAATATAAAGTTAAAAATTCCAACATTGACAATGCGTATTTTGGAATTTTTTGTTCTTTGAAAATAGAATTTCAGTCATTGAGAAATTTGTTTTTCTATACATGTAAACATTTTTTCATCAATTAAAAAAAATATTGTCATCCATTCTCGCCGTTTTCTATTGGCAAAACCCTTGCGTATTTGGGTAATACGGACGTCTAACAAACCCTATAAAGGTGAGTATTTTTGTACGAAGCGCAATAAATTAGGTACGGCCCTAACACTAGTGTCAATTACATTCACAACAAATATGAGTTGTCAAAAAATATTAATTAAATTTAAACCGAATAAAACACAAATTTTCTAAATGGAACGACCATTGAAACTGAAGGAATTATTTATTTAATATTATTTGTGTTGAAGTTGTGTTGCGTTTAATCTAGTGAATAGATTTCACGAAATATGGATCGGCTTTGTTGTTACTTGCTGTTACTTTGTATTATTATACCATGATTGTAAGTCCCAATTTAGAGTTTGCGGCAAGTCTTTGTTTGCTGGAGAGTGGGTCAAGGGGAATAGAAATTGAAAAAAAAATTGCTCGTACCGGCAATTTTCTGGCAATTCGTTTTGTCATATACCTGTATAAAACTCCTTGTACATTAGCATTTTGTACCGGGTTAACCTACTTTATGAGGATTTATTTGACATATATACAAAGGAAATGACAATTGGAACCCACTGGGTTAACGAAATCCGGTTAAATGTAAACGTACTATAACATGTAATAAATATAGTAAACGTCATTTATTTGATATGGATTTGAGTAAAGCATACGTAATTTCGAAATTGATTAATGGAAATAGCTATTTTGTCAAAAACCTAATGGCTTTCGTTTGGTTTCCGACGTTACTGACGTACGTATTATACGTCGGAAATGTATGTCATTTAAGTCACTGTTTCTGACGGACCATCTTAGAGGTTATGACTATGATATCGTGACAAATGTCAGAGTATAAAGTTTTCAATCCGAATACGCAAGGATCTTATATAATAGAAATCCACACAAAATGGCTAAATTGATAAAAATATTTTAAAATGTAGGGAAGTTTAAAAAACATATTTTTTTCATATCCTAAAAATAACAAAACTTCCAGAATATATTTTGTCAAGGTGTATTTAATAAGGCGTATGCATCAGATACAACAACAAATATTTTACAAAAACAACATTGTTGTTACAGAAATTAAATTGTCATGTTGACAATTAGTTTTTGTCAAAAATAAATATAAACAAACATTTATTTGTTTTCGTTTTTTGTCAACAAAAAATCTATGAAGAATTGAAATCATTTGTTTTTTTTTTTTTTGGAAAATTTACCACATCCTGCCCGTGGCTCCTATATATATTCATTTAATTATGGCTTCCAAATCAGCCCTTCTCAGTGGAAAAGTTGTGTGCCATAAATCGCCGCTCAAAGACCACAAAATAATGAAGATTGTGTTACGTAGCCAGTATACCAATATTGTCATAAGCGTATGTCAAATTCTCGGGACGAAGTACGGCTATCCACTAATGCTTTTCAATTTAAATTAACATATAGAGATCCACTACAGAATCTATTCTTTATTGCAAAGATTTTGTGCCTAACTATGAGTTAGGCTGGACATCCGTCGAAGATTTTGCAAATACCAATGGGCAGATTCCAATATACAATTTCCACGAGCTACTCAAATTGTGAAATTTTCATGCAAATTGTGATACTTTCGTGGGAAAGCACTACAGACATTATAGAGGCCCATATTTCAGAATGTGCGACAAACAACAATGGACAGATACCAATACAGGCTCCTTGCTAATTTTAAAGGTCCATATTTCAGAGACTTGTAACATTTTCTGTTCCTATAAATGTTTTTTTGTTGTTGAGCATAATTTAAATTTTAAGGAAATAAAACGTCGAAGAAAAGTGTTTTGACAATTTACATCACAAACAATAAAGAAAAAAGTTTAAAACCATATGATTGCCACTTACACCTTATTAAATACGCCTTGTATTGTGTCAACGCAGAATCTATAAGTTTTACAATCGATATCATAATGGAAAATTGTTATCGTTGCAATTGGTCTCTTCTCGTAATGCAGTACAGGAACAGACCAAGTATGTAGCAGATTCTTGCAGTATGGAAACAAAACATGTATATTTCGATAAAAATTTAAATTTTGAGTTGAATAAAATCGTACGCATATACATTAGTAGATTCGAACCATTATATTCAATCTTATTTACTTAAATTCACATATATGTGTATATTATTAGTGTTTCCCAAATAAAAAAATGTTTTGATTACAAACAAAATGTTAAGAAAGGTCCAGACCTATTCTAGGCATTTTAACTACCTCTTCGAGCCGGTCGTATTTACTTTTTTATATTCAAATCTTAATCTTAGGTAACGAGCCAAAGGAGTTTCTTTATAAGCAAATCAAATATGGCATTGATTCAGTCTGCCTGCCAGTTCATCTGACTGGCTTCTAGTGTCCATGTCTCGCAAGACGATGATTATTATTATTATTGTAGACTTTTTGTAACAATTCATTTTACTACTCGTAATGTTGACAATGATGATGACTAGGTTGAGGACCACTTCATCTTTTCTTTTGAAAAGCAGGAAGAGTACACTCCGGCTAACATTCACTTCCATTGAATGAGAGGAAAAATCAAAAAGCCATAAAAACTTTACACAATTGGAACGTGCAAAATGCCTACAAAATGCTACACTGAATTCGTCCCTATCTTGCACACACACGCGCACTAACACTTTCACGCACATTGAATGGGAAGAAGCTAAAAATGTTGGCTAAAAGGTCGAAATACATTAGGCATCGACATCCACACGCACACTAAGCCCCAACAAGCAAGATGTGCATTGAAGACGACGATTTTCTAAACATTTAACACTACAATTGCACATACACACGTACACAAATGAATTGACTCTTAGTCACCGTTGGCTAAGTCCGAAACGACTCCATAGTACGGCATTCACGTACGATTTGAAGCCGAGTAGAAAAAGGACTCTTCCGCCCATCAATGAGAACAGGAAATCATCGTAGTTGGCCCTTTTTCTTTAAAATGTGTTTACTTTTACTGTACAGTGTGTGCGTCTGTAGTTGCCTTGAGCCACTGGACTGTCTTTTTCATCATCATTATGGGCTCTCAATTGTTGGCAATTTCCAATGATTATCATGATTATCCATCCTTTCGTTTTTTAGCTCCTTTATTGGTCTGGCGTTACACACAATGGGGCTAGAACAACGAACAGCACATGGGCTATCCACTGCGAATAAGTGTCTTTACGGTAATTTGTCTCTGAGTGTGTGTTTGTGCCCATCCCGTTAACTTTCCATTGATCAACAATTGATAAGTACTCTGTGAACGGAAATGAAATTCATTTTTATACGAAATAATCGTACATTACACGCTTCAACACCTCATACGTTTTCATGGACTGCTCACAAAGGACTTGCTAGTACTACAACAGGAATCTATCGGCACGAAATAAAAATGAACGCAAGAAGAAAAAGGTATTCGGAGTGCCGACACTTCATTGAGTTTATTTACTTTGGGAATTGTGGCAATATCCTTTTAGCAATGATTTGATGGCCCACCAAAAATATCCTCACTAGATAATAATGAATACTCAGTAGGAATTTACGAAGAACTGGAAATGACCAAATTGAATTTGCGCGTAGGAATCGGAATCGTTCTATTGCATAATATGAGGCAGAAAAGAGTTCTGCAGATATCAAACGTAACCCGAATTATATATTATGTTCACCATTATTGATAAAAATACTATTTATTGATAGAATTAAAAAAAAGTCATACAGAAAAGCAAATACATAAATAAAATAAATACAAATAAAAAAAACATTTATTTAATCCCTGCAAG